GCTTGAGAACTTAAATCTGAAACTCTGGGACCACCTATATTACAGAAACAGTCACTAACGGCATAGACATAGACTATAACAAAAGAGCGGAGAGAGAGGGCCAATGGAATGGAGAGAACGGAAATAGCTGGGAAATCAGTTCCGAAAACCCTTCTCCATCAAAGGTTTAATCAGCAGAAGTCAATTCCTCGTGCTGCACCTCGTTTTTGAGTTGAAAGGGAGCCCAAAGTTCAGATTGAAATGCTTTCTTATATGTTTCAGTCAACATTAATAATAATCATCTGTGTTCTGTATCTTTTAGAATAGATCTGTTGACAAACGTTCTTTATGTTATTAAATATCTGTATGTTGCCTTAACCTTTGAAGTGTGTCTCTATGAATATAGAATTCTGGGGTTTTTTTCCTTTAAGAGCATTAATGATGTCCAGCCATTGTTTTCAAGTTTCCATCATTTCTCAGGAGAGGTCGTCTGTCAGTCTTGTTGTTCTGAATACAGAATATCTTTGTGGAGCTGCTTTTAAGATTTTTAAGATAAGTTTTATGGGTATTACTTAGATACACAGAATGATTATGTTCATCATAAGGAATTTGTACCTGTACGTGATTTATCTTGGCTCCTCCTTTCCTCTCCCCCTCCCCCCAGTATCCCTTCTCTTTTGAACTATTTCTTCCTATTTCAAAATATTTGTTACACATTTTGGTTCTTATTTATGCTTTCAGTTTCTCACATCATTGAGACAATATGGTATTTACACATACATGCCCAATTTATTTTGCTTAAGAGTATAGTCTCAAGGTACATCCATTTACCTAGAAATGTCTCAAGTTTATTCTCTGGCATGGCTGAGTAGAACTCCATTATATTTAAAAAAACAAAATGTGTTTTTATCCATTCATAGGTTGATGAGAATTTGGGTTGTTTCCAAAATTTCACCCCTGTTTGCTCCCTTTGTCAAAGATAAGGTGGCTGGGTGTGTTTGGAGTTGTTCATCATTTTCTAATCTGTTCCACTGATCTGTGGGTCCTTTATTTTTTTTTTTTTTTTACTAGTATTACTGTGATTCCAAAACCAAAGAAGAATTCAACCCAAAAAGCAAATTAAAGGCCAATATCCCTAATGAATATAGACACAAAAGTCTTCAAAAAGACACTGGCAAGGAGAATACAGCAAACCATTAAGAAGACTATGGCCACGTAGGATTCATCCTGGGGATTCAGGGAGTTGCAGCATACACAAGTCAGTAAGTGTAATACAGCAAAGTAAGGGCGCCAAGGACAAAACCCAGCTGACCACCTCCGTAGATGCAGAACAGGCATCTGACAAAGTCCAAGCCCCGCTCATGATAAAAACCCAAGAGAACACTGGACCTGACGGTCAGTCTCTATCTCAAAGGGATGAAACCATCTGTGACAAACCAACAGGTAACATTATATTAGATGATCAAAACTGAAAGATTGTATTCTAAAATCAGGAAGAAGACTGGGATGTCCACTATCACCACTCCTATTCAACACAGTTCTGGAAACACTAGCCAGAGCAATTAGGAAAGAGAAATGAACAAAAGGAATATGGATAGGAAAGGAAAAAGTTAAATTATCATTGTTTGCAGATTACATGCTACTCTACATAGAAGACCCCAAAAACGCTATCGAAAGACTTTTAGATTAAATAACCAGTTACATAACTGGATAGAAAGTGAGCACTCAAAAATCAACAGCATTTCTGTACACAAATATCAAATTCACTGAGAGAAATTAGGAAAATAATACTTATCATAATAGCATTAAAAAGTGTAATATTTAGGAATCAATCTAACAAAGGAAATAAATGATCTTCATATTAAAAATTACAGTACTCTGAAAACGGAAATTAACAAGGATATGACAAAATGGAGAGATATCCATTGCTCTTGAGTAGGAAGAACCAACATAGTGAAAATGATCATACTTTCAAAATTATTATACAGATTTAATACAATTCCAATCAAAATACCACTAGCATACTTCCCTAGAGAAAACATTTCTAAAATTTATTTAGAGAAGACCTAGAATAACAAAAACAATTTGAATAACAAAGGCAAGGTAGAGGCATCACAAAGCCTGACTTCCTGATTTGAAAGTATATTACAGAGTTCACATGATAAAAACAGTACGGTACTTGCAAAACAAAACAAAACAGAACCGAACAAAAAAACAAACCTAAGGCTCATTGGAACACAAACAGCTCCAGAAGATGCGGAAACAACTCCAAACACATTCAGCCACTTATCTTTGACAAACATGTTCACTAGAAGAAAGACAGCCTCTTTAATAAATGGTGCTAGAAACACTGAATTGCCACATGCTGAAGACTAAAACTGGATCTTGTCTTTTGCCAGGCACTAAAGTAAAATCAAAATGCATCAAAGATCTACGTATTGAAACAGAAACACTCAACCTCCTGGAAGGGCGACTAGGCAGAACTCTTGAAGCTACTGATTGGTGTAGACAAAGATTTTATGGCAAACCCCCAATCACACAGGAGCTATCACCATCAATCAATGCCTGGGCTTCACCATAGTAAAAAGCTTTTGCACAGCAAGAGAAACCACCAAGTGACGAGACAGCCCCACAATGTGGGAACAAACTTTTGCTAGCTGTTCCTTGACAAGCAATTGCTGTCTAGAACATACAGTAAAGATTTCTTTTTGTCTTCTGTTTTCAGCAGTTTTGTTATGTGGCGCCCATTTTGGTGTGTTTGGTTCACTTGTTTATCCTTCGCTAAATTTTTATTGACTGTTGTAGCTTGATAACTTTCCTCTGTTTGGAGTAATTATCGACTATGACCTCTTCAAATCTTGTTTCTACCATGACCCTTTCACCTCTTCTGCTCGTACTCCAGTACAGGGGTGGCAGATCTTTGTACAAATTCTACATGACTCTATGCGATTTTCCTGTATTGTATGTCTTCTTTCTATATGCAGACTGTAGATATTTTAGTTAACTTAAAATTTTTTAATTTTATATTATCAACTGGAATATATAATCTAGGGTATATAATATATAAAATAAAATATATTGTATCTTATCATTGTATCTTAGCGACTTGAAGTAAATAATGATAATAAGTGGATCACCTGTTATCTGATTTGAGTGATTGTATATTCTCTTGGTTTTGATCATATGGTCCTCTTTCTTGTCATACTTTTTATTTAATATCAGATATTATGAGTAAAAAATACATAGATAATTCAAACTTTGGCTGATTTGTCTTCCTCTAACATGGAAGCAGGTTTTCATTACAGCAGGCAGGTAAAGTAGGTACAGATTACTGTTATTCTCTCTATGTTTGCACAGATTCAAAGTTCAGTCCCACTGTTTTGTGAGAGCTGATTTCATTCGAGTTTGCCTATCAGCCTTGCTATGTGTTGTGAATGTATTGTTGTGTTGTTCCCCGTCATAACACTGTGAGCAAATACTATATTATCCCTATCTAGTGGTGAGAAAAATAAGGTTTGTAGAGCGTACATGACCATATGCAACATGCACAGGAGAATTTGTAAGCTGGACACAGTCTCATTCTATGGATTCTGAATCCAAGAGATGTACGAAAAAGTATGAACAGAATAGAATAGAATAATTCTAGAATAATTTACGGGGATATATTAAGCACAAGAGTTGGAAAAGTTTACTTAAAGAAATTTTAGTGAAAAAATGTTACATTTCTTCTTTAATGGTTCTAGTATGCTATTTGATCTCATCTAAAATGTTTAAATAATCATAATATTGTAGAGTGTGTTAGAATTCAAATTTTATTCTCAGTATGTAGATAAAAGCACTGTCACACAGCACTCTGTGTAACATTTGTCCCATGTTCTGACTGTTAGGCAAACATCTGAGCACTTTGTACAGGGTGATCTCTTTTGTCCTAAAGCAGTCTGTGAGGGATGTACCATTACTATCCCCAGTGACAGCTGAGAATTTGGATGTTTAGATAGGTGAAGTATTTTTTCCAAGATTCGATAGCTAGTGAGTACATAAGTGATGGAATCTGAACCCTACATGTCCAGTTTTAACAAGGCTGCCTTTCACAAAAGAAGCAAAAACAGCAGCATCTTCAAGCTGATTACAAAGTGGCAGAGAAAGAGGATGTAGGAGGATGCAAGTGGGCGAAATTCCACATCTTTTATGAATGAGAATCAATAGGTATTTTTTAAAGTTGGTAGTCTGAGAAGTATATCAGTTAGTATTACTATAACAACCAGAGGAGCAGGAAGCAGAAACTACTTAAAACAGGCTCTCTCTGGAGGAGCCACGAGGGATATGAGATGGGAAGGTGGGGAAAGTCTTTTATCTTTAATGTTTGTCCCTGTGACTCGTGAGCATTATAGATAGAAACTTAGCTACCTGTAAAAAATAAATTACACTCTGTGCTGTGAGGGGAGTTCCGTTCTACTGAGAGAGTTCCGCGCTCTTGGTTGGTGTGGGCTCCAGCAGAGTACTGGTCTACACTGGCGTAACCCTGCAGCACTGGCTGGTGCACCCTGAGTGGGGTTCTTAAGACTTGCTCATCTGAGTCCAGTGCTTCAAAGCCCACAGCCCTGAGAAGGAAGCCCACGGAGCCAGGCCTGCTTGATAGATTACACAAGTTCTGTTCTGAAATTTTTACTCTTTTTGTATTTATTTCTGATTGGTTTGGAACGTGGGTGGAAAAGAGGTGTGCTTTTCATATGAGCCCTGGAGAAACTCCCAATCAATTCCACAGAAAAAAAATGAGCATAAAGTCAAGAGTGCAACAAACACTGAACTGTTTTACAATTCCTTAATGTGCTAAATTGTTGTAGGGTGTTCATCATCATTTGACATCTTTCTTTTACTTAAACACAGCAGTTTTAGGTGGCTTGGATGCAAACCTGAAATCTGAAAAATGGTCAAGATAATATTTCAATATTTTTGAGTTACTGAGTAACTTTTAACTATCATTGGGTGAAAAAAAATCCAGTTTTTCAAAAGACACTTACAGGTGAGGGTCACAGGATTGCCGAAGGAGTCCTGGCTAGTGAGGGCTCTCACAGAGACGTGAGCTGGGGTTTCAGGGCCCAGCAGCTGCCGCTCTGCTTTCTTTCTCCTGCTGTGGAGGTAAACCTTCCTCGTCTACACGGGTTATGTCCCAGGGGGAAATGAGGATGGTGCTACCTTGGAATTCAGCAGGTCCCAAAGCACAGAGCGCGGGAGCTTCCGCGGTTCGTCCTGAGCACGCTTTCCACAGCGCCAGCTCCTGTGCTGCGGTGTCAAGGGACAGTCAAAGCTGCCAAGAGCTGACTCCAAGGAGTGTGCTCTGCGAGTGGGGAAGCTGCTCCCAGGTCGAGCCTTCTTCTGCACAGCTGTTTCTGCTTCGCTCTAATTTGTTCAGGATTCGGTGGGGACCCTAGAGTTCACCTTTTGCAAAATATTTGTTAATTTTTGTTTTTAACTGAGAAAATACCTTTTCCCCTCCCCAAATGAGAACAATTTGCTCCGGGCTTGAAGATGGATTTGTATTATAGCCGCAGTAGAGATTTGCTCAATTGCTTCATAGCCTCATACCCAACACTGACTAATTCCTTTTAACAAGAAAATGGTAAACAGGTGGAGTTGAAATCATAGATAACTAGGGTCCTCTCCAATGCCTTCAGCTGGATATCTGAAGAGGGAACTCTGCCCAGCTGGCAGCGCACGCACTCAAGCACATCGGGCATTTTTGAAACCAGCACGGTGAATGGCAGACACGGTAACGCGCTCATGAAATCCGCTCAGGTGGTAGCTTCCCCTAACGGTCTGCAGCATCTTGCTATTTGCCGAAACTCTTCTCCCAGACATTACCGTCTTCGTTCAGAAGCGCTTTCCCTTTCAAAATTTGTCCAGCTCTGTTGAGTTATACCAAGGAGTAAAGCTTACACATATGTATATATTTAAAATGCACAGCACATTTTGATAAAATTCACTGTTACATAATAACCACAGTCAAGGTAACCACCATATTCATCCCTCATATAGTTACTGTGAGTGTGTGTGTGTAAGAACACTTAAGAGCTCTCTTAGCAAGCTTTAAGTGTGCAACACGTCATTATTAACTATAGGGTACCCAGAACGTATTCAGTTTATAACTGAGAGTTATCACATTTTGGCCAGCCTGTCAGCCCTACGGTTGTACCCTGTTAGTATGAATTTAAGTTTTTAAATGTTCAACATGTAAGTGAGACCATGCAGCTTCCCTTGCCTGGCTTATTTCAGGTATCACAATACTCTGTAGCTTCATTTATGTTGGTGCAAATGGGAGTCTTCTCTTTCTGAAGACTGAATGACACTCAGTTTTCACACATACAAGCACGTGGCTACGGCCACTGACGACTGCTGTCACATTTACTTACCCGTCTTCTGTCGTCAGACAGTTTCTTCTACATCCTCAACACCAAGAACGAGGCTGCAATAGAAAGTACGAAGATCTCTGAAAAAAACATAAGTAGACTATGAGTCCAAGGCAGCTTACTCGTCTTCAAAAATATCACATAGAACAATACAGTCATGAAACCAATTATAAGTATAGAATTATAAGAATTTCAAGTATAAAGAACCCTTCCCAGACCGCACTGTGGTTTGATAAAGTTTATATTTGTAGTCACATGGAAAAGTTCTCGGAATTCTAGTAAATTAATTCCAATATACCCCTTCCAACGCAATCCACAGAGAGAGTAAAGCCACTAACGCGTATGTGTAGTTGTGGGGAGCCAAAGAGGTCTCCGTGCAGCCAGAGTGACAGCTAACCGGACAAAGGCCGTGACCCAGGGCTGAGCCCAGGTCTCGTTAACTCATGAAGAAGACAGTGGCCTGGAGCTGAGCCAGTGTGAGTCACAGGAAGCACAGGGGGGCCGTGGCCTGGGCTAGGCCAGAGGCCTGAAATCACCATTGCAATATGCAAGGAGAGATACGCAGGAAGAACGATCTGCATAACACTGTTCGAGGTAGTGTCTAATGTTTTGGGGTCCAGCTTCAGTTCTGATGAGTACGTAAGCCCTGAGAAGTCATAGGCTCCGTCTCAGCCACAGCGTGGCTCACACAAGGCCTAGCACATGAGTATTACTTGGGAGCTACAAGAAGGCCTGCGCTGACCTGGAGCATTCTGTGAAGGAGCACACATCAGCACCTGGGCTAGACGCTTCTGTATCGCTTAGCACCGATGGAGGGGAGGCGGGCCGTCCTAGCCAGCTCTGCACATATCAGCACGTGGGTGTGGGGCCAGGTTCAGCCAAAATGCAGACAACTGCACTCTTTCAAGGGGAGCCATCCAGGGCCTCCACGCTAAGTGTACATAGTTGTCCTGATCACTACCTGCAGCACTGACTGGATTACCTTTTGTAAAGCAATCTATTCTTTTAGATTGATTAATACTTTATCAAAAGACCCAAACATATATATGCATGTATAAGCACTTAGCCACTGTAGTTCTTCTCTGGTATTTAGTCAGAGTAGTGTGGTTTTGTTTTTGTTGTTCCTACTGTTCAGCCTTTGAATATATATATATATATATATATATATATTTTTTTTTTTTTTTTAGACTGCAGCCCTTCCAGGGGGAGAACCACCAGTGTCTCCTGAGATCTGTGCCATGTTGGAACTTAGGATGTTGGGAAACCAAGCAAGCGGCTCACCTACCTGGTAAGTGGCTGTGGTGAGGCAGACTATGGCTCCTCCAGGAGGAGAACCACACCATCTTCTGAGATCCACATCATGTTGGAACTTAGGATGCTGGGAAACCAAGCAACCAGCCTGCCTCCCTGCTAAGCAATAGTGAACCTACTGGTGCACGGCCTAGGGTCAAACATCCTACTTCTCCTACCCTCCTTCCCCTGACCCTCTGTTAGTAAATGGGAACCAGTATCTGAGTATCTTCTGGGAGGTTGACCATAGCTAATAGGGGGGATTTCCTTTTACCATCTCTTTGAAGGCAAATATTTTTATTACTGTTTTGCTCTATTCTAATTAATGGTACTGCTCTATTCAATATTCTGTTTTGATAAGTTCTTTAATGTTCTGTATTTCATTTTATTTTTATATACATGATTGAAAGAACAACTATTGTAAAGATAATGAAATATGCTGTGATACCTATTACTGTTATCCCGGTAACCTGCTGTGAAGTTCTGTGCCAATTTCACTACATGGTCTCAGTTGTGTTTTGTTCTGTTCTATTTTACTACTTTCAAAATAAAAACAATTCAAAAATAATAATACATATATATATATTTTTTTTAAATCTTAGGCAAGATTAATCTTTTGCATAACACTGAAGATGTTTAAAGCTTTCTTGTGAAATAAAAAATGTGCTCTTACAATGTTGTTCTTTATCCATCCAAGGTGAAACGTTCAGTTGCCTTCCTAATTGGCCTCGTCTGGTTCCCACTGACCCTGGATTCCTGCTTCCAAAGATTTTCCTTGCGACCACAGTAAGACATGCATTTATGCTATGGCCTTGAACACAAAACTGAAACCACAGTTTTACGAACCGATACTTCTCTGACTTGCCGTAATATCACTCCAGTCTTTTCCATTTGATTATGTTCCTTTCTGACCTACTAGATGTTTTAACCAAGTTCTAGTAACGCCCCACAGTTTGTAAAATCCTGCTCTGTTAGACAATGACCTTCTCTGTGGAATACATCGTCACTGCTCTCTTACATTGACCCTGAAGGCCTCGCTGCCCACAAAACCGAGAGGCAAGATTTTATGGGATTCTCTGTTCCCTTGACATCAAAATTCAACCCGCTGTCCCCAGGTTGGTCACACCTGTTGCAGTGCATGATCATGGCAGCACAGAGGATGAAAGAATTATTCAGAGATGAGCCTCAGTCTGAGCACTGGGACGCCCAGAGGGACTCTTCCAAGGAGTGCACCCAGTGTGAGGGAATCTCAAGGGAGTAGCTCCCAACCAAGCACTCCTTAGTTTTTATTTAGAATACCAGGCAGTGCAGTAAAAAAATCAGAGGAAGAACACCTTGGGAAGGAACTGTGTCAAGGCTCAGGAGTTTATCAGGACCACGACTGGGCACAGTTTTATGGACCAAACTTCTTACTATTTTCAGCCTGTGCTGTTCAACAACCACGTGCGTTTGCCCTCGCAACCCTCCCTGGCTTTTTGGCCATATGTCCCAGAGCCTGCCTGCTATGGCCTGCAGGCCCCTTCAGGACTATAATCATTCATTCCTCGGGCCAAGGCCCACGCACACAGCCACCGCCAGCGCACCGAGGACAGACACTCGCCTAGCCACACTGTCTTGCCTCGCCCTGGACGCGTGGCTGTCTTCCCTACCTAACTGTAACTTCTGCTGAGTTAGGAGATGTAGCTTGGCTGTCAGGTTTCTTTCTGTGGCCTTTTTCCTTTCTTCTAACATAGCATTACTCACCCAAGTAGCAGTGTATCTGAGAAAGTTAAAAACAAATACTTAAGGAAACCTTAAAATGTACCTCAAGTGCATCATTGAGTCTTTGATGTAAACATTCAGTTGAATGACATCTAATGCAGTCTCTCCCAGGAATCCAGTCTGACAGTGTGTAAGACTTGATTTCCAGATCTACTGAATCTCCAACAAACGTGACCTGTTTTCATTTGGAATATTTAACTCAGACTTCCTAGCTCTGTCCTCCTTGGAAGATGGCTGTAGGATTTGAATACCTGGAGTCCTGCATTGAGTGAGCACAAAACGTGCTGGCCTGGATGGCAGCTCAGCCGAAGGGCACATGGTCTCCTGCTTCCCCTGCCAGCTCATCTCCATGTACTCCATGCTCCCCCTGAGATGCCCCCCGTCCTGGGCTCGAGTTTCCCCTCTTCTCCCTTTACTGACCACCCCAATCCACTCACCACATCCCTCTCTGTAAACCCTGGGCATTTCCTCTGTGACGTCCCCAGCTTCCTTCCTGCTTACCTGGACCTGCCCCTGTGTGTGCACCTGGCCACTGCTTACTTGGAAGCATCTGTCACGGGATTTGTGTTCCTTTTACCCCTGCCCTGTGCTACACTTGGTAACTGAGGACATTTCCCCGTGTCCCTCCACCTACGTATGCACACACCCTGAAGATTCATGATGATACTTTTGTTCTGTACCTGTTTTGTTTTTCCAAAGCCTACTTTGTAAAAAGTATGACAAAGTATAAATAAGACTCACCATCTTAACTGTTTCCAAGTGTATAATTTAATGATATTAAGTACATTTATACTGGACAAACTTTCTGCCATCTTTCCCTAGGATTCTTCTGATTTTATTAAATTGAGGCTTCCCCCTCCCACCCTCCCCTACACCCTGACAAGCACTACTCTATGTTCTGTCTCTGTGTATTGGACTCTTTGAGGGGTCTCATACAAGCCGAATTGTTTGTCTATTCATGAATGTTTTTTTCACTCAGCGTACCATTCATCAGGCCCACCCACAAAGTAGAACATGCCAGGACACCC